CTATAGTAGGCCTGGAAGGCTCAGCACACATCTCTGTAATTCTATAGATGAAATACAGACAGGTCCTTCTACTGATCACTGGAAAGAAGATGTGCCAGTGAGGATACCAGGGGCCATTATACCATTGGCAAGGAAATTGTTAAGATCTTGGTTCTGGACCAGATCAATAAACTTGTAAGAGAAGCATGGTGGTGGCTTCATGTGGCCAGGAAAGTCAGCTTTATGAAAGCTAACTAGACTGAGTTAGCAAAACCTAAACTAGACTGAGTTTACAAAAGTCTTACTTGTAGTGTCTGATACTGTAGTATCAGTGGATTTTTACGGTCCATTGTTGCTTCTAAGTGTGATAGGTGCACAGGACAATCTTGAGTTGTCATTAGCTTGCAGAAGCAGAGACACAAGTTTGAGGCTTGGAAGCTGACAGTAGGTCTTTACAGGCATTGACATATGTACTGGTTTCTTTTGGGCAAATCTGTGCACAGGCCCTAAGGACTTCCTGACCTTCCACAGCTTTGGGGACAGCACTGGCTCTGGGTTCAAATCTCTGTTCATAGAAAGGCTCTGAGTAGACTAGGGAGTTCTAGTTAAGATGAGACCCAAAATGTGGAGTGTAAACAGAGGCAAAGCTTTTCTGTCCTGACTGCCTGGTCCCAAATAAACACATGAAATTTTATATTAGAAAATGTTCAGCCAATAGCTCAGGCTTATTACTAACTAGCTCTTACATTTAAATTAACCCATTTCTATTAATCTGTGTGGCTTGTGGCTTTACCTGTGTTCTAGCATCTTGTTTCTTGGGCGGCTCACTAGTGTCTCCCTTGACTCCACCCTTTTTCATTCCTGTCCTCAGTTTGATTGTCCCACCTAACTATATCCTGCCATGCTATAGGCCAAACAGCTTTTTTATTAACCAATAAAAGTAACAGATATTCACAGAAAGATTATCCCACAGCAGTGGGGTTAACAAAATTACAGATGAGCCTGGTGCCATATCCCTGTATGCATTTTCCACTGGCCACCTCTATCCAAGTTATATAGGCATACCATAAGCAGCTCTCAGTGGCCAAGATCACCAAGTCCTACTTTGAGCCAGCTAATCAGATGGTCAAATATGACCCTAACAACATGGCCCGCTGCATGTTGTACAGAGGAGATGTGGTCACAGCCATTGTCACTATCAAGACCAAATGCATATCCAGTTTGTGAAATGGTGCCCAATTAGATTTAAGGTAGAACTGGATGCTGTGACATCATTGTACCTGCCAGCAAACAGCTGCTCAAGGGTTTGAGGAAGAACACCAGCTTTTACATCAAGCCACAGGAAAACATGTTAATGACTTTGCTAAGCAACTTGCACTTTTCTGAATATGCCTGTACCCTTTCCTTGTAAACACCCTCAGGTTCATGGGTATATGATCAGTGTTTGATACTTCAGGGTACTGGGTAGGAGACAGCCCCAGGCATGCAGAAGCAAGTGATGAGGAAAGCTGTGAGGTCAGCTCTGGCTTCACTTCCCAAATATTCTCTATTCACCAGAGAGCTTTATCATTTCCTTTTTTGTTATTGTTGTTTCTTTAGTATTTTGAGACAGGGTTTTTCTGTGTCTCCCTGGCTGTCCTTGAACTCTCTCTGTAGACCAGGCTAGCCTTAAATTCAGAGATACTCCTGCCTCTGTCTCCCAAGTGCCACGATTAAAGGCATGTATCACCACTGCTAGGTGAAAGACATATTTTTAAGTTGTCAGTTTAACTAACAGGAAAATATAAAACAAGCAGATTTCACTCAAATGGATATATTAAGTCTCTACATATGAAAATTGCACGCAGGCAGGTGGTGGTGCACACCTTTAATTCCAGCACTTGGGAAGCAAAGGCAGGTGGATGTCCCTGAGTTTGAGGCCAGCCTGGTCTACAGAGAGAATCCCAGGATAGTCTCCAAAAGCTACACAGAGAAACCCTGTCTGGAAAAACAAAACAAAATAAAAAGATGTTGGATATGGTAGTTTACACACAGAATCCCAGAATTTGGGGATGAGGCATTAAGCACTTGCATTTGAGACCTTCTGTTTTACAATTACTGAGCCTGTGGATTTGAGCAGATGGATTTTCTCAGTGAGACACTGGAAAGATGAAGACTTCAAGGCAGCCTCTGTTGGCAAGTGCTGTAGAAAATGCTAGACCTTGGTACCTGGCTGAGGTTTTCTCTCAGCTGAGTGTATGGTCCTGTGAACGTGTAAAAATATCACTTATGAGGAAACATTAATTGCAGCTCATCTTGTCCCCAAAGAAACCAAATTGACCCTGCTAATCTCTTTGCACCAAGTTCTTTTTAGAAAAAAAAATTTAAGTTTATTTTATGTATATGTGTATTGGCCTACAAGTATGTCTGTGCACCATGTGCACACCCTGGCCCCTTGAAGTTCAGAAGAGGGTTTGGCTTTCCTGGAACTGGAGTTTTCAGATGGCTGTGAGCTGCCACATGGGTGCATGGAACAGAACCCAGGTCCTCTGCAAAAGCAGTTCTAGTACCCTTAACCACTAAGCAATCTCTCCTACATTTTTTTTTTTGTCAGTTTCAATGTGGACTTAATTTTCATGTTTGAAAATATTTGGATTTTTAGCTGGACATGGTAGTACGTGTCTGTAACCCAAGGACTAGGAGCTAAAGGAATTCAAGGTCACCCTTGGATACATAGTGGGTTTGATGCTAACCTGGACAATGTTAACCCTGTTTCAATAAAGAAAAAAAATGGGGTATTTTACATTATAAAAATGTGCACAATATTAAAACTGCATGGAAGACCAGGAAGCTAAGTCCTATTCTCTCCCACAGCTGTGTTTTTTCCCCCTTAGAGAGTAGGTTCTGTGCATAGTCAAGGTATATCATATCTCTTGTTATGCAGGTAATGTTGGATGACAGTGAGGCCAACAAACATGTGGAAAAGATTCTTGTTCCTTCTGAGTAAGGTAATCAGTATAAACACATTATTTTGAATTTAAGAATGGAGTATTTTCATGCTGTGCTTTACTCTGAGTCTTATGGGAGGGCTAGAGAAGGGAGCACAGGGACCTTGGACATGTGTGTATCCAAGGGCTATGGAAACCCAGAAAGCTGGCAGTGTTGTTCCTGAAGGGTCAGGTTGGGAGAGGACATATCTTCAACAGGGCAGGAATCCTGGTGCCTTTGTCCCTGTTTCTTTCGGGTGCCAGCCTGGCTGTTTTCCCAGCTCTTGTTAGCTGCTATCTGCTCATCAGAGAAACGTCTCTGCCTGGGCACATTCCCAAGTATTTGTCCTCTTTGGCTTCCAATGTATCCTTTGTGTGAGTTCACTATTACAATAGGTGTTTTCTACACATAAGTGCATTTCTACTCCATTTTCTTTATATATATGCTAGGATAGAGTTTTTGTTCTTTTCATGTGTTGGACTGTATGGGTGTGTAATGCTTTCACTGGCCCTTTTTCTATTTTGACATTAATGATTCAAGCACATACAATCTTAATATGGTTTTTGTGTCTGTGTGGATGAATCTGAAACATAAAATTTTAAAGGGTCAAAGAATGTTAAATCTTAGTCATTTTCAAAAGTATAATACTAGTTTTTATAGTTCAAAGTGGATCTACAGTTCTCAACTTTTAACAAACTGTCATTTTAAAAGCCGATATAAACTCCACTGTATTTTCCTTTTTATGATAGGTGGGCATTAACTACCAGCCCCCATTTATGGACTCTGGGGGAGACCTGGCCAAGGTACAGCAAGCTACATGCATGCTGAGCAATACCACTGCCATTGAAGAGACCCTGGCTCACCCAAATCACAAGTTCAACCTCATGAATGTCAGAGAGGCCTTTATGCAGGACCTAGCAGCACAGGGAAAGGGTTACAGAGAGATGGCTGTGGATTCTACAGAACCAGGGGCAGAGTACTGAGTGCAGCTATGTAGCTGGCAGCCATATCTTTATATCCTCCCACTGTTAATATTATTTTTACTTCATACAGTACATTACTACAACAACTACAACAAATTCCCTGTCTAGATAGCTGCCTTTCTTGGAAGGGCCATTTAGCCAACTACTGAAATCCTCTGTGGCAAATACATTTGTTTTCTCTAAGACATTAATGACTGTATGCTCAGGTAAAAGCTTCTACAAGATAAGGGAATTAGGGCAATACACATTTTAAATTGAAGAATGAAGTCCCTCACACCACATGTGAATAGCATGGAAGTGGCTTTCATCTTGTCTTATGAGGGCTGAGGAGCAGAGTGCAGTTGGGGTTCTGACATGTTTCTTCATTAGCTTTCCTCCATGGCTGGCGAATGTGAGCTTAAAGTTTTAAGTACTGATTTAAAGAACTTGATCTAAAATGGACTCAACAGGACTGCTAGATGTCACAAAGTAGATGCTAGAAAGAGATCCTGTTGTCTGGCCTAGTCGTCCTGAGACAGTGGTAAAACCCCAGTGGGCGCAGACCCTCCTGGCCGTGTTTGCAGCCGCTCTGCTTATGCAGTTAATTCCGTTACTCTAAGAACTTTTTTGTCTTTACATTATATTTAGTGCATATGAATGCACATGTGCAAATACGTAGGGGTCAGAGAACAACTATTGGGCAATGGTTCTCTCCTTCTAACCATGTCAGTTCGGAAATCAAACTCAGATCGTCACGTTAACAGAAAGTGCCAAACCTTCCGCGGCCATTGGCGGAGCTCTCTCAGGCAAAAGGCCACGTTTTTCTTGGTGGTGGATCTTTTTCAACCAGAGTGTCCGCTTACGAGATCCATGGAGGACCGCATATCGCACCCGGGCTGCTTCGCCCTAATGGCGAGTGCTCAGTAGTTACCTTGGATACACAAACAAAACTAAGGAACGACGGCGCAGCGGCTTCAGGAATCTCAAGCGCCTCTTGGAGCAACGATCATTCCGCACTCTCAACATCCGGTGGCCCGCCCTCCAGGATCTCTTCCGGTCCCGCCCCTTAAGGGCATTGACAGTAGGCTACGGAATCCCTACGCTCCCAACTTCCGCGTTGACTCACCCATCGCGAGACTTCGGCGGCGCAGCAATGGCAAGACCGTGAGTACCGCTGACGGGAGTCTGTAGAACGAGTTAGGACGGGACTGGGACGAGGTCGGGCAGTGGGGGAGCCGGCAGGTTCAGGCCCTCTGGAGGGAGTGGCGGAGGGGCGTGAAGGCAGTCCTCCAGCGACTGCCACCCACGACCCAGCTCCCACCCCTTCCCCAGATGCCGCGACACTGCTCCGCCGCCGGCTGCTGCACACGGGACACGCGCGAGACTCGCAACCGCGGCATCTCCTTCCACAGGTCAGCGCGCGTGCGTAGTGGCACGCGAGGGCTCACATGCGCAGGCGCTGGTGTTGCCGCACTGTAGGCCGTGCAGGAGACAGCGCCTTCCTGAGGTCGAAGTGAGGCTTGAACTTGTGAGCGGGAGGGTTAAGGGCGGTCGAGGAGTCGCGATTCCAGCCAAAAAGGACTGGACGCTTCCTTGCCTTGGACGTGGAGCTCTGACTCTTTCCCGCTAGGTGATGCTGACCAGGCCCCGTTCCTTCTCTAGTCCCCAGTTTCCTCCTAGCGGGTGGTAATCCGAAAGGGTCGTGGGGAGGTCTGCCCGCCTTGCCTGGGTATCTTGGGCATCCCGATCGCAGGCTGCAGCAGTCTGGTGCTCATGGTTTTGTGGCTTTGCAGACTTCCCAAGAAAGACAACCCCAGGCGCGGCTTGTGGCTGGCCAACTGTCAGCGGCTGGACCCCAGCGGCCAGGGCCTGTGGGACCCGGCCTCTGAGTACATCTACTTCTGCTCCAAACACTTCGAGGAAAACTGCTTTGAGCTGGTGGGAATCAGGTGGGTCTTTCTGCCAGCCAACACTAGAACAGGGTGTGAGGCATCAGAGCAGTGGGTTAAGTGGGACAGCTCTGTGCCCTGCTGAAGTCTATGAACGACTGGCTGGCACACTCACAGACAGGCAGACCTATGTCATGGGTGCTGTTACCTCTTCCCAATTCTGTATAATAAAGCATGGCTGCAGGATTACATGCCAGTGGCATCTGAGAAAAACAGCCTTTCCAAACTGGGTAGATAGTCCGCTGGCAGACTTGGTATGCAAGCAGGAGGACTTGAATTCAAATTCAAGTACCCAAATAAAAAGCCCCATGTAGTTGCCTGTTTGGGCTGCTAGCTAGCTAGTCTAGAGGAGTTGTTGAGCCCTGTGTTCAAGGAGAGACTGCCTTAAGTAAATAAACAGATAAAAAGAAGGTGGGCTGGAGATGGCTTAACAGTGTAGAGTAGTTGTTACTCTTCCAGAGGACCAGGGTTCAGTTCCCAGCACGAAGGAATCCCTCACCTTTTCCTTCCTCTAAGGGCACTGGCACACAGGTGGTACATGCAGGCGAAACATTCATACTCATAAGTAGGGCTGGCAAGGTGGCTTAGAGGTTAAGAGCAGTGGCTTCATGCTGTTGGTGGTGGCTCACACCTTTAATCCCAGCACTCTGGAGGCCGAAGCAGGGGGATCTGTTAGTTTGAGACCAACCTGGTCTGTAGAGAGAGTTCCAGGACAGCCTCCAAAGTTACACAGAGAAACCCTGTCTTGAAAAACAAAAGAGCACTGGCTTCTTCCAGATGATTTGGGTTCATTTGCCATCATCCACATGGTGGCTCACAAACCAGTAAACTCTAGTGCCAGGGGATCTAATGCTCTTTCTGACCTCTGTGTGTACCAGGCATGCACATGGTGGATAGCACCCATACACATTAAAAAAAAAGTTTTTAAAGAGAAGAAAAATTTAAAGGTGGAGAATAACTGAGGAAGACCTCTGGTCTCCACACAAAAGGAAAACAGCTTTTCCATGGGGTATTCAGAACCTAGTTCTTCCAGCAGGCCCACAAATAAGAGACTTCTGACTGGTCCACCTAGCCCTGTGGCAGTGGGGGGTGGGGGGATGGGTTGTGGGGTTCCCATTCACTTCAACTCTGGACACAGAGCAGACTAGTTGGAGTCTACCAGACTTGGCATTCTTCAGATTATTGGCAGTGTACCATGGAGCCCGTAGCCCTAGCGCTGAGGGGACCTATGTTGGGACTAGGGGAAGTAGCAGCACTTTGTCTTCAGCTCATCTGGGCTGCTTCTCCCCACAGTGGGTATCACAGGCTGAAGGAAGGGGCAGTCCCCACCATATTTGAGTCTTTCTCCAAGTTACGTCGAACAACCAAGACCAAGGGGCATGGTTATCCACCTGGCCTGCCTGATGTCAGCCGGCTCCGGCGATGCAGGAAGCGGTATGTGCTGCAGGAGGGGGATGCCCCATCCTCCCCCCAGGGCTGAGGGACTGGACTGTAGGGTGAATGCCAGCATCTTCACTGAACAGGATTCTTGTTGCCTAGACAAAGTGAAGGGGCTAAGGTGTTGTTAGGGAGTCTAAATGGGTGTATGAGGGTCCTGGCATGCTCTTAGTTGGCTAGTCAGTTTCTTTCTGTCTCCCCTCCAGCTACTCTGAAGGTCAAGGACCCACAACCCTGTTTTCTCCACCTCCTGCTGATATCATCTGCTTCCCTGTGGAAGAAGCCTCAGCCCCTGCCACTCTGCCTGCATCCCCAGCTGTGAGGCTGGAACCAGGCCTTAACAGCCCCTTCTCAGATCTTCTGGGCCCACTAGGTGCCCAAGCAGAGGAAGCAGGCTATAGTGCCCAGCCTTCACCAGAGCGCCACCCCTCCCCTCTTGAGCCACGGCCTATCTCCCCTTCTGCTTACATGTTAAGGCTGCCACCACCTGCTGGAGCCTACATCCAGAATGAGCACAGCTACCAAGTGGGGAGTGCCTTGCTCTGGAAGAGGAGAGCTGAAGCGGCTCTTGATGCTCTGGACAAGGCCCAGCGCCAGCTGCAGGCCTGCAAACGGCGGGAGCAGCGGCTTAGGCTTAGACTGACCAAGTTGCAGCAGGAACGGGCACGAGAAAAGCGAGCACAGGCAGATGCCCGCCAGACCCTGAAGGACCATGTGCAGGACTTTGCTATGCAGCTGAGCAATAGCATGACATGAGCACACCCAAGGCTCTGGTCTCTTCCTCAGAGGTACTCAATTGGAACTACATCCACCAGGCTGACCAGCAGTCACAATAAAGTGGATGCTAGAAAGACCCTGCTGTCTGGCTCAGCTAGGACTGCCAGACTCCTTCCTAGACAATGGCCAAAGCCTTGGAGGAATCAGGCCCTGGCATGCAACCTCTTGGCCATGGGGAATCTGTTTGCAGTCCCTTTGCTTATTTAGTTACTCTTTGAAGTAAGAAAGCCAGCTCCTTTGAGTCCAGGCTGGTATCATTGATGACACTGAACTCCTAATTCTCCTTGTCCCTTCTGAGTAGAATGATAAGCATGTGTCATTGTGCCCCATGTCAGACTTGGTACTTACGTAGAGGCACAGCAAGCTTCTGCCCACAGGCCTCATCTGTTTGGCCAGTCCCTTGCACTGCCCACTCCTGCTCCATTTATGGAGCCTCAAAACCAACATATGGTGTTACACTTGTCAGGTAGGGAAATGTTAATCTTTTAGATACAGGATTTAGATCCTGGCCTTGATACCAAGTTCATTTTGAGAATCTAGGCTTCTTACAGTAGCTGTGTCCATGGTAAACACCAAGTACATGGTCTCTCCCTACTGCTCTTTGGCCACATAGCTAAAGCACAATTGAGTTTCTGGCTGAGTTTGTACACAAGGTTCTGACAATTTTCTTTTTGAAGCCTGGGTGAATATGTTTATTTGTATCCTGTGTAGAGGACATAATTGAAGGTCCAGTTACAGGGGTCAGCATGAAGCAAGATTTAAGGTGTTCTCCCCCCCCCCCTCCCGCCCAAAAAAAAAGAGGTTACCACCTTGGGGGAATGGCTCTGACAGCTCAGTTGACTCACACCAAGCCTGCCTGGCTGCCCACTGTAGGCTGGCACACTCCACTCAGCTTAATTGCTGCTTGAGCTCTGTACTTCATCTTATAAACCAAATCACTTCCTGGCTGTCTGTTGGGACTGCCACCCAAGGCACCTTTCTACTTGGAGCCCCACAGCATGGAGTAAATGCAACACAGGAGGGAAATGTGATCTAAGGTCAGAAAGAGCCAAGCATTTCTCAAACGAGTTCTGGCTTCCTAGGGCAGAGTAGGCTCCTGTACTCAAAAAGGGTTCACTGTGCTGTACTGGACGTAGGCTTTGATGCCCTGATGTCAGGTAACAAGGATGGATGCCTGGGTAGTCTCCTAGGAGATAGGCAATTTTCTCTCCCTTGGTGACTGACACCATGTGTTGACATGGGCAGAACAGGGGAGATGTATCTGGGGAAATCTCCTAAAGCCTTGGAACTGTCATGTGCTTCAGGAGGGCAGACTAGAGGTGGCCATTATGCCAGCCAAGTGTGTATTAGCATTGCCACAGCTTTAAAGGAGGCATGTCAGTGACAGGACACAGGAGCTGTGTGTCTCTGCTGACTTCTCCCTAGCTCTGCACACGGGATGGACTGGAACATGCAGCCTCTCTGTGAGGCTGAGATACACTTGCTGCCCTGTGGGCTGGGAGCATAATCTCCAAAGTTCATGTCTAGAATCAGACACTTCATTGGTCCCCATTCTTAAGTTCTGGGTTAGGAGTGGAATACAGCCTATTGCTAGAGTTATTTGCCAAGCCCTGCTCCCCTGACAATAGGACTCTACCTGGATCCACAATACACTCACGTGGAACACAAGCCACATTCCCATCTACCACTGAGTGGTGTCCATGAGCCTTGGTCTCCTTGGGAGAAGTGCCAGCTGGAAAGGGAGTCTGCTTCACTGGCCTGTGTCCTCAATGACGCACAGCCTTTAGGAATTCCTGTACACCTCAGTGCCCAGTAGAAGAAGATCTGGGGACCACAGATCTGATCACTTTGTAGGTGGAGATGTGGCCAATCAGTTGAGTGTTAACACTCTCCAAACAGGCAGAGTCCTCACAAAGATCTTCAGATGTCGGCACCCAGCTCTGCACACTGCTTGTCAGAGATGTGGGAAGCCAGGGAGTCTATGATGTCCAGCAACAGCTGCTGGCTCAGCAACCGCAGTGTGGGCAGCTTAGAGACCTGTACAGATGACCAAAACTAGATGAGACCTCTTGGGGCCCAGCATGCTCAGGGCTTGGCTGTCTGAGGACAGTGGGCAATGGCCAAGAGGTGCCCTGGCCTGATGGGGAGGGCTGGGCCCGAGAGCCCTGGGGCCAGAGCCTGACCTTGGTAAACTGGTGTACAATGATGTGCAAGCAGTGCCGCTTCATGTCCAGCGCCTGCGTCTTGTCAGCTGCCTCCAGAATCTGCAATGGCAGGGACAGTGAGGCACTGCCTCGGCTCACCCACAGGTGAAGGTGTGGCCAGAAGTACTGAGGTACTACTACCTGTAGCACATTCTGCACTGTTACATTCATCTCCAGGTTCTGCTTACAGTATGCCTGCAGTCTGTTGTTGTAGAAGCCATAGTAGTAGGGGGCTGCAAATAGGTAGCTGGGCACAAGTTAAGGAGCTGCCAAGTAAGAGAACATGTATTCACTTGCGTCCACTCATCCTGCCATATCCCTAGTCCTCCTGGGGAGGTTACTGCCGGAACTACACAAACCTCGGAAGCCAGAGCTCCAGTTTGCACCCCCGCTGGTTTGCTCTCTAAATTGGTTCTGAACCATTTCAGGCTCAAAGGCCCCATTCATGATCCAAAGAAAACCTTAGTCCTCCTTTCCATGTGCCCATTTACAATTTCCAAGCCTCTCTGGCCCCATCAGGCATCCTTGCACCTCAGGTTCAAACACTTTTGAGAGAACATATGAGGAATCCCTTTGTCCACTTACCTGTTTGTTAAACAGTGATAGCTAGCCTGCTTATCCCAAACATTTGTTTCTGTTTTTGTTTTTTTTTTTAATCCCAAACATTTGTAAAGGTCAAGACTCAACTGTGCTAGTTGCAAAGTGGCCCTCCCAGCTGCCTATCCACTTGAGTCTTTGGAGACCAGTAGGTCCAGCACCAGCACTGGACACTCTAGAATTAGGCACCAAGCCAAGATCACCTAGCCAACAGAGCAACAGGAACCAAACATGTCTGAGGGATGTGAGGATTTCTCAGGGTGACCCAGGAACACCAGCAGATAAAAGGATGCAGTGAGTCTTCAGGGGGCATGTTGACCTCGCCATAGTAGATGTAACGTAGCATGGACTCAAAGGCCTGTCTGCTGGGCACCATCTCCCCAATAGAGATGTTCACCTGCCCATCCTCCGGCATGAATGAACGGAACATGGCCTCAAAGTAGCTGCAAACAAGGAGGTAGATCCTAGCACTCAGGAGGAAAAAGCATCGGGGTTCTGCCCTGCCCTCCCTCATTCGTCCTCAACACACCTAGAACGGGCAGCTAGGATGGCTTTGTGGGCTGGTCGTGGGTGGCCATCTAGCAGCAGTGTGATGTCACAGAACTCTGAGCCTGCCCCCTCCAGGTATGCCTTCATGTCCTGGATCAAAGATGTGCCTGGGGGTATAGAAGAATCTTGAGGAGACTCCCACTTCCACCCTGAATGGAGAGGCACCGCCTCTCCACAGTGACCATGTAGCTGCTGTGCTCGGTTTCCCCCAGTCTTTCATTCCCTCAGCCCTCAGGTCGACTGGAAACTGCAGTCCTTATTCTGGCCCTCATGGCTGCTGCACCAATGTCTGCTCTTCCACTGTGTGCCCTATATGCCCAGCTCCCAAGCCACATGCTGGACACCTCTCTTGGCTCATCTTTTGGTCTCTCATGCTAGTGGCAGGGGCTAGTATAAGCCCCAAGGGGAAGTGAAGGTGCTATTGATCTCCACTGGGTAGGATGAGAAGTACTAGACAATATGTAGCTGCAGCTACCTCACTCACTTGCCAAGAGAAGGCACAGGACCCCCCCCCCAGGAGTGGGTTTTGTGGGTATCCAGGCTCACTGGCACACAGCTTGCTATTGAAAGCCTCTATGAATTCTTTGAGAATGCCTCTGCCCCTCCCAGCCTTTGTACCTGGGAGCCACCTTACCCCAAGAGCCTGGCAGGTAGGTGGTTCTTAAGTTCCCTACATTCAGGACATGAAGAGAGGTTCCCTACCAATGTCCACAGGTTGATCCGAGGGTGCTCGAGGGGGTGGCTGCTGCTTCCGCCGCACAATCTCTACGATCAGAGGGGATGAGAGGCGCTCGAACTCCTTCATCATGATCACCTGATTGAAGTGGGACTCCTTCACTATGAAGTTCAGGCAATGCTCCTGGGAAAGACAGGCACACGAGGCAATTGGAATCAGATCCAGGTTGGGCAGCAGAGCTTGCAGTGAGGAGCAAGAGAACAAACCGCACCCCACCCAGGAAGGCCTGGGCTGGTAGGCAATCCCAGCCGCCAGGCTAACCCCAGCTTGTACCTTGAGCTGACCCAGTTGTAGCTTAGCAGCACTCTCACACACCACCAGGACATTTTGCAGATCCACGGAGGCTTCAATGTACTGCCGACACAGCTGCTCAAGGCGGCACAGCTGGAAGCTCAGTGCCAACTTGTACACATCCATGATGAGCAGCACGTCCTCTACATGGCCTGAACCAAAGAGCTCCTGAGCCTAAGGCCCCAGGAAAGGAGGCCCAAAACAGGTCCCAGGGTTCCCTCCATGAACAAGAAGGTCAGGGCTACGAAATGGCAGCTGGACTATGGCTTGTACCTCAGGTACATCTGTAACAGACCTAGCAGCACTACCTCTGGCTCTGTTGCCCAATCCCACCCTGGTCCACACCACCCATACCCAAGGCAGACCTTTCCGTGGGTACTTGATCTTGTCTGTGTAGAGAAACTGCATAAGCACTTCGAATGGCCGGGCCTCAGCCTCACGAATGGCTACACGTAACAAGGCTGGCCGTGCCCTGCCCACAGCTGAACCAGGGGCCTCCCTGGGAGCTAGGGCCCCTTCCTCCTCCAGCTTCTGTTGGGAAAAGGGAACTCAGGGCACCCCAGTAGATAGTGGGCAAAGCTTCCCAGTTGTGGGGGCTAAAGGAGACCTTACCTGGGCCAGCCATTCTCGAGCCTGCAAGATCTTCCTACGAAGCCAGCGGCTCCGTGCAGTGACAATGGCAACATGGCCCTGCACACACTCTTCCTTCTGCATAAAGAACAACCGGTACATGGGTGAAAGCACAAGACCCCTGCCCCAGCAGACAGAAGCCAACAGGCCAGGGCAAAGCTCCACTCAGCAATAGAGTAGGTGAGGCTGGCATAGGTCAGTCACCTACCTCACCAAGCACAAATTCCACATCACAGAACTGGCGGCCCTCCCATAGGCGCCCATAGTCTTCATGCAGTGTGCACTTAGGGTAGCAAGAAAACTGCAAAGAGATGATCAGTGAGCAAGCGACAAGCCATCCTTACACCAGCCAGCCGTGGAACCCTCAGAACAGGGTCAGGCGAGCCTAGGCCATGACTAAGAAGGCATCTGTCTGTCTGTCTGTCTGTCTGTCTGTCTGTCTGTCTGTCTGTCTATCTATCTATCTATCTGTCTATCTATCTATCTATCGTCTGTGTTCTGTCTGCATGTATCACTGCAGGCCAGAAGAGGGCATCAGATTTCATTACAGATGGTTGTGAGCAATCGTGGTTGCTGGGAATTGAACTCAGGACCTCTGGAAGAGCAGCTAGTGTTCTTAACCACTGAGCCATCTCTCCAGCCCCCCACTGTTTTTTCTTTGACAAAGCTCCCAGGCTTTAGCCAGGCTGTACCGTTTGTAAATACCTGGACCCAGGTACTCAAACAACCCCATCCCACCCCTCCCTACAACTGAAACAGATTTATTC